GAGAGAAATTATAGTGTGTTTACTTGGTGACAGAAATTATCCTGGAGAGAAGAAAAATTAAAATAACGAATGCAGGGAAGACAGTGCACCAATGATTCCTCGTAAGAGAGAATGTGGATTTAGTGGTTTAATGAGAACAGGTAGACTATTTTAGAACATAATTAGTGTATTTGGTTGTGAGAGCTTCTGAAAGTTCAAAGCAAGATGTGAGTGAAGAGAGAGAAGGAGTTATGAAATACTCATCTATAAAAATGGGGAAGTGAATTGACTAAGGCAATTATTGGACATACCCAATAAAAACAATCAATCAATGTAAGATGTCACAAATTTAAAGTGAGATTTATTAGCGTGATTATTTTCTTAGTCACATTCAGGTGCTGGTGGAAAGGGGGAGAATAGATGTAGAGTTTAAATTCAAGAACGGCCAGGTAAGCTTATAAGACAGAGACAGAAAGGGGCGATGGGGTTGTTTAATGTATACAAGGGAGTGATTATAATCTCAGAACCTTGTATTTAGGCTGGCTTAAGAAGCAAGTGAAACCACAGAGGGTATGAGATAGTGAAAATGTGGTGGGACCCACAGATTAGCAGTTTCAGTGGGTCAAATAATTGTTAAAATTGTGGGGGCTTAGAAAAAGTGGAGCTAAAAAGATAGGAAATATTGGTTAGAAAGTATAATTGAGATTATGGATCTGGTGTAGTTATTAATAATGTCAAAGTCAAGAATATCCAAATGTTGCTACCTCAAGGTTGGTCATTTAATGTTTACTTTGTGGTGTTCTGCCAATTAGTTCATCCACCCCCTGAATTTTTTAATTCCAAATTCATTTTCATTTAAGTTTTGATGCTCCATTAATAATTCACTCAAGAGTTATGTTCTCTGCTTTCTAAGATGACAACAGTTGTAAAATTCATTTTAATAATGATTTTCATTAGGCTTTTATTTTTTTATATTGGCTACTAACATTTTTATAAGCTACGGAGATTTTGGTCCTATATCTTGTGAACTACTTTTATTAGTTCATCTTCTGTTGCTTAGGATACGTGAAACTGCGTGATTTATAAAGAAATGAAATTTATTTCTTACAGTTTTGGAGGCTGGGAAGTCCATTGTCCAG